TGTTTTTCCATATTGTTGCAACAGTAGACTTTCCAAGTGCTAATTCCTTACAAATGTCACTCTGCTTTACTCCACTTTTTATTTTGTTAATAATCTCCTACTTTTCATTTAGTGAAAAAGCATTGCGTTTTTGTTTTTTCATTCTAAAACGATTTACATACATAACGCGGCAAAAAACAACTCACTGCCTGTTTCTCGCTCTCACTAATATAAACAACTCCGCAGGATTGGTGTTGCTGAGCGTGGAAGTTCGTTATAAACGGAAAGTGAATATACAACTATCCTAAAAAGTGATTGTTATATCCGGAAGTTCGTTATAAACGGGTTCGTTATAACCAGTAAAAAAATACGTTGGTCTTTATGGACGACGTTTCAATTAAAGGAAAAAAGTTCGTTTTAACCGAAAGTTTACTATAACCGGGCTATATCATTATAAGCGGACTTTACTGTAGTTTCCAATATCGACTTTTTAATGCGGCAATTAAAATTATGTAGATTTCAGTCAATTAATTTGTCTAGACGTGTTTTTTATTGGCTTGGCTGATTGGAAATATAAACAATGTAAAATTTAGGTTTAGTAACTTAAAATAAAATAAAACATAAAAGGGCATAGATGATAATTTTTTAATACATAAAATCAGTATTAGACTGATCTAGTTTTCTCCTCTATTTTTGTGTTTTCCTGTACATAATATTAAATTAGCAAAATTGCCTTTATAACCAACTAACTAAACTGTCTAACATTTTATATGGAAAACTCAAATAATTACTTCATCTACAGTAGGTACATTTCCAATAAACTAGCAGTATTTTTTAAAAATTAGCTACCATTAAGACCAGTTTTTTAACCGTTCAAATTACCATCTAATAATAGCTAATTTGTCGGTTTTTCCTCCATTAGTTAAACCATTAGACTTTCGCGTAGATAAGAATAATTTACGATTGTTTTTCTTCTTGATATCAGCCAGCTTTTCAAAGAGGAAGATCAAATTCTGATGGAGCCGCCCTGCAATTGCTCGACTCTTCAGAAGCATTTCCCAGCTTATCGAATACTGTTCTGGAAAAACTTGGTTTATATGGGGACGCCACCAGGTCCGTAGCTTTACCGCACGGTGTTAAGCCATCTTTTAGCTTTGATTTGTTTAGAGAGCAGCTGAATGAAGACTCGGTGGAACATAAATTCACGAGTTTGTCCTTAGCTTTTACCATAGACGCTACAACGATTAAGGATAGATGTGAGAGGCAGAGAAGAGGCCGAGACCAAACGGAAAACAATTTTAATCAGGAAGTTGAGAGGCTGAAGGATAAATTGGCTCTATTGAAGCCGTTGTGTGTGGATTTTGAAACCGCTGATCTTCTATCGAATTTGTTTGCTCAGGTAACAAAGCCATTTGCCTGGAAAAGGTGGATTAACTCAGGAAAATTTAGGTGGAAACTTTAACTAAAGCCGCCTCCTTGGTGTCGATAGCGGCAGAAAGATATGGAGCCGTCCAACACGAAGAACGCCTGACTGAGTCGGTTCAGTTGATGGTTACTCATGTCCAAACCCTCAAGCAGCAAAGAGACTCAGCCTTTAGGCAGTTGCAGTATACCAAGTAAACATCAAACTCACTCCTCAAATCTACCTCAAGTGAAAACTGAAATTTTCAGGCGCGTTTTACAAGAACCAGTTGTACATACAGAAACGAATGCAGCGAACCAGAAGTCTGGACAGAATAAAGTTATGGTTAGCAAGCGACGAGCTAGCACAGATTCAGTGAATTTTAGCAACCCGCATGTTGATCAAAACGTGAAATTGAACAGGAGGATTTCGGACCTTTCCTTTCGAGCTTCTCTAGGCAAAACCAGATCGAGCAGATTAGAGTAAGTGATTCAGTTCAGTCGTGAAAAACGGCTATAAATCGATTGTTTCAAGTCGCTATTTCGATTCCAGCTTGGGAATGGAATTGAACAAAATCAAAGAAATGTCTTTAGACGAAGGGTTTAAGGACGAGCCTCTGACAGTGTCCGAGAAAACAACGCCCGAAGACTCAAAGGAGGACTTAGATTCGGATTTTGAAGCAAGTTGCCTGGCTGAGAACGTATGTGCTGGTCAAATGCCCAAAGATGAACATATTGTAGCAGAACTTTCTAGTATCATCAAGTAAGTCACTACAAACCGGTTTGGTTTAGTCGCAATATTAGAATTTGTCTTTTAATTGGGCGTTAAAAGGCCTAAAATTGATTTTTAAAACATTTTTAAATACTCATTTTGTTGGTATCATTCTAGATTGAAATGTATGATCTACATTGAAGGCATCCGAAAGAAATTATTGCAAGTTTCAAAAAAATGGTCAGAAAATGGTTATCTTCATGCCTTCCTCAACTCTTGTGCAGTTTTGTGTTTTTCCGTCAGTATTCTGACCTTGGCCAGTATATTTCTGGAGCAAGAATGTACTAAAGGGCCTACTTATTGGTTATTTCCTTGGCTGAAAAAGAGTAAATAATTTAGGATGCCTTCCCTCTGGCTAGAATTTTCTGATTAATATATGTAATATATTTTATTACAAAGTGTTAGTGTGTTTTTATTGATCTTATCGTGTCCTGAAAATCAACCGCAAGGTGTTAAAACAATGTAACAGAAAACAACGTTTATTGATAACAAGAGAAAATAAACAGGTTAGTTAACGGGAAGAGTTGAGCACATTTTCGGGAGTAAAACCAATAAAATCAACCGCCATTCACATTTTTCTGCTATTTAATAATTTTGTTTCACTTTATTCTCAATTAGTTAATGTATTTACTAAGCTAAACTGGCCGTCAAAAAGAGAGCACCAATATTTTCCTAAAAAGAATTGAATTACTTTATCTCAAAAAGCTTTCGAGCGATTTATTTTTATTTGATTTCCAGCTTTATGCATTTTTGAGTTTGAACATTTTTTTTCGGTGTGTAGGAAAAAGTTGAGCAAAGCAACACAATTTATAACTGAGATTGCCATTTCTTGATTCCGTAAGGTTAAAAATTCATTCTTAAATTCGTATACTAGATTTTTCAATACTTTTTGCTTTATTTGATGTTACTCAAAAATTGTCATCAAATCGATCAAAGTGAAGAGCGCATTTTTTTTTAAACGACTCAACAACAATGTTGAAAATAAACCGAAAATAACACACCCAATATAAAAGGAGAAATTGTATAAAACCAAAGGTTTAAAAAAATAAACAAATACTTCGGGTTTTGTAAAATGCCGATAAATTAAGAAAGGCAATTTTGAGATAACGCAACTTAAAACTGAGTATTCTTGTGAAGAGCGGTTTCTAAACTATTTTCTACTAAAACTAGGTGTCCTTAATTTCATTGGAGTCGGAAAATATCGGCTTATCAGTTGGACCTTCGATTACCAGTCCTTTCGCACCGAAAATGAAGCGTAAAAATGGCCTCATTGATTCCAGGAGTTTCTGAGCTCTAATAGCGGAATTCTAAAAATAAATCAGTTCAATAATATATTTAAAGTTGAATTACAGTTAGAAAAGTTTTTCCTATAAATATTTTTAAGCGTCAATAATCCTTTGTATACTTACAATCATGTATTCTCCGAATGTATTGGATAAATTGGTAACTAGAGTAAACGATGAGCCGAAAAGCTGATCAGGAATTTCCAACGAAACCGGTTTTCCTGGTGTAAATTTCACAATATCTTCGGTCGTTGTGGGCCCTTTTGGAGTCGTTTCCCACGCAAATCCTTCAAGGGCAGATTTGGGAGAACGTTTCACTCTCTGAAAACGACAAAAAATGTGTGGTGTTGAGTGGAAACTAAATGTTACATTGGCCAAATTATTGCTGTACTTTTGAGAAAATATCCACATTAACAAGTGAGTATGTATTTTACGATATTGAATATAGACATGAAAAATCTAGTCAACATCGCGCTAAAACTTTTGGGTTTAGGGCTTGAAATACATGGCAAGCTCTCACGTGTAAAGTAAGTTGCTTCTAGAAGAACTTTTTGCAACTTTAACGCAAACAATGCAGCTCTTGACCAAAATGAATCGGTTTTACTAGAAAAAGTCGCATTTTTCTAATAAAGATTTAGGTATAATAAGATGAAGTAGATGATTTTTGATCTTTTCACATTGATAAAATTTACTTCCATATCTTTTGATGGCTATGAACCACATAATATGAGTGCATTCACGGTGGAATATGGATTGAAATGTGAGATAATATTTTTTTATTGAAAGCATATATACTTTCTGAGCAATTTTATTTTGATGGTAAAATGGCATTTCTGGGTACTTTTTACATAATAATATACATAATGGTATTTCTTAACAAAGAAACCCTGTTTATTATGTGGGGTACGGCATTTTTTATTTCGTTCTTCGGTTTTGAGAATAGCATGGTTTTCTGCGCGTTTGACTCTATTTTGTTATCACTTGACTAATTTTTTCTTAATTCAAGTACTTTGCATGTTTTTTGGTAAAGCCATAAAATTAGTTTTTTATATAAAAAATAATTAAAATTCCTTTTATTCCCTCTCTTTTTTAAGGAAAATATTCTTTGCATTGAGTAGGTAAAAGGTAAAAAAGTAAGGTAAAAATTAATTTCTTAAATGCGGAAAAGATAGCAACCAACTTTTTTCTGCAAATTTTAATGGACTTATGATCCATAAGAGAGATATAAAGATCAGCTTTCTTTCTCTTACTCCAAATTCTATTGGCTGCTCGGGTGCATTTTCAACAAATTAGCAAAATCTTAAAATTTTTATGACTGAAACTATTTTTTTTTTAAACTTATTGTTGTATAAAACACATTAGTATCAAAGGGTGGAAAATTTCAATTCAATTCATCTAAAAAAATAGTTTCCGAAAAGAAATAGTTTTTGTCAATTGAGATGTTTGAAATTTTTGAAAATTTGTAAAAAAGCAGCTAGTGAAACTTTGAACAAGCAAAACGAAGCCGATTTCTTCCTATAACAGTCGAGGGAAAAATCAAGTCGCTTTTAAATACCGTTATTTCGGAATTAATTTTCAAAATACCTATTGCAAACTGCTGGTCGAATATGTCGGAGGTGATTTTATGAGACACTCTGGATACTGGAGAACAATTCTAGAATACTCACAACGAACAACTGAGAAAACATTTTTCTGTCTATCCGTTCAGACGCAATCAAGCTATTTGTTGCTGAAGGAATAGCCAGTGTAAAGCTTATTCAAGAGACTAATTTGGATGAAAATTTCCCGAAAAATGGCAGTTGTTTCAATTTCCATAGGACCGCTTTTTATCCTTTGAATATTTAAACTCAAAACTAGTTTGATTTTTTCCATCTTTGGCATCTTAGTATTACGTTTTAGTCAACCCTCAATCCACAAACTACCTACAATAAAACACATGCTTGTTATAAATAACATTTACTAAAAACTCTATGTACATGCACTAAAAAAAAACAGGCATCTTTTTCAAATTATTTACAATTTCCACAACTTTCCATTGATATTTCGAATAGAAAATGATACAAATTCTACATGGGAATAATGACAAAACCGCTTTAAAGATTACAGCGACGCGAAAGAAATGTTGACATCCGTAACTCTAGCTGCATAATTTTAGATACTAAACGTTTTGACTAGAATAAAACTCTTCAAAAAGTCGATATTTTGAAACATAATAGTAAGCGATGTCTAGCGACTACTAATGAATATAAAATCTTTATAAATAACTTAAAAAAAATATCGTTGTAATCTTTAACTAATGTGGGTCAGACCGTCTTGTTTACATGAAATTAATCATCTAGATTTCAGTACATTATATCATTTTGGATTGTGTAATACGAAGGAATAATTTCTATAAAAAAAGAGAAAGGTTGTCCCTCGCTTTTAGCAAGAAGCAGCAGTTGAGTGGAATGTTCTGACCTTGCTTGCAGATTGTTAAGAGTGAAGACTTTTCCAATTGCGCTTTTATCATGCAAAGTAAAAGACAAGTGCAAAGGACAGTAATTAATGAAAAATCAGTCCTCTCAAGGTTTTCTTATTAAATAAAAACATGACTAAATTGGCCTCAAAGATAATCCAACAACACACTGAAAGGAAACTTACGTATAACGATTTGATCTTGACAATTTTCTGATTTTGCATAATACTGAATCGAGAGCAGCCAAGGAAAGTGAAGTAAATTAAACATCTAATGGGCAATTACTGCGGAAAGATTAATCATTTTGCAAATTGCGCATTTCCTATACTTAAAAGAACAAATCAAAATCAAGAAATCGTTTGATTTCAACTCAGCTACTACTTGCCAGAGCCTGCACAACACAAACCATCTTGATAAAATGTTCTATTTGTGCCCGCCTAGAAGCGATCCCAAGTTGAACCCTCCATGGTTCGAACCAGATCCAGAACCGCTTCCCAACTTGCTCGTTACAATGTTGAGCAGTGGAGCTGCCGCTTCCAATTTAGAGCCAATAGCTCCGGACAGAATCTTCGATAGCGAAATCACCGGATCGGTTGGAGGCTCGATGCCATGCGCCTTGTTCTTAGCGATGTTCTGATGATCCAGTTGGTCAATCCAATGGGTTTTTTGGTCGATGAATTTATTCAATTTCTGTGAAGAATTCCATGTTGGACCGACAGCCATTAGACCATTCGATTTTAGGGCCTTTGGGAATACTTACATCAAAAACGAATCCTAAAATCGCATCTTTGACGCCAAACGCTACTTCCACCTTTGCCTTGTCTTTATACCCATTATGTTCCTACAAATTGTGCATTTCAAGGTATTTATTTACAAGTGATGAGGAATAGGGATATTAAATGTATATTCTTTGTAGGACTAAGTGATATTGTTTATTTTATACTTGGCCGTAGGTTCTTGATGTTTTTTGTGTGTTTAGGTTTTTCCGGTGGGAAACTAATGCACTGAAAAGTCACAATTTTCCTATTAAATGTGCCGTAATTTGCTTATTATTAAATGTGCAAGAATGTGCAAAAACAGTTTTTAAGTCGTAATTTACAATGTAATAGTTAGAAGTGTTTGATCGAAACACACATAGTTTTAGTGATGCGCGGTTTTAAATACCTTATATATTTTAGCACTTTTGTCTACGGTTCAATGACGGGTATTTAAAATACTTCTCCGGTAATAATTTGCTAATAAAAAGATTAATTTTAGCATGTAAAAGGGAAATTTATTGAACTACATTTGCCTCTTCTAAAGAGAAAATTAGGTTTTTCTCAAGTGGTTCAAAAGTATTTCTGAAAATAGTTTCGGACGTTTTTCGAATTTTTCAGTTTATTGCACACGTTTGCTGATTTTGTTGAAAGGGTTCAAATTTATATAAAAGTACCTACAAAAATGTCTGCCAATAACTCAAATATCCATCTTTAAGTGGGAAAACTTGGATTCTTCAATTTTGTCGAAGATCACTTACTTTTGAGCGATTTTAAAATCACGCATGAAGATCATCATTCAAACCTTCAATTAATTCGGTAAAGAAAACTTTTCTGCAAGACAATTAGAACCCTTTTATAAACTAGCAAACAAACTTTTGCAAATTTAAGAATTTGTATTTCTGTTTATAAAAGTAATTTCTAAAATGGAATTTAGTTAATTAACTCAAGAATTGGCGTTTTTTCCAAAAAATGCACTTTATTCTGATTTTAATCTTAATTGTTCTTTGTGGAAAAAGACACAGGCTTTACTTGTTAGTAGATAAACCAGTGGCGGCCTCTGACAAATTTTTAAAGCAGTCGAACGAATCTCAATCATTCAATTTCTGTGATTCTCTTCATCTGAGAACAATTTCTCATTGTTGTTTAGTTTTTTCTTCCCAGATCTCTTAGAGCTTTTGATCTTGTGATAGTGTGATGATCTTGAATCAAAAAACTGAAAAGTTTCTATCTTGCTATATTATTGTAATTTTTAAGTTAATTTAACCGTGCAGCAATCCAGAAAGTTGCGTAAAATTCGATACGGGAAACAACCGATATTTCTCTGCTACTCAATAAGGCGTTTGTCGCTGGACTGAATACAGCGCTTTAATATTTAGTTTTAAACCGCAGTGTTGTTTTCTTTAACAATATTTTATGAACATTTTTGTCATAATAAGCGTTGGTTTTTATTTCCATAAAATTCTTCACTTGCAAAATTTTTCCGGTCGTAAAACGCACTTTTACTCTGTGCCCAATTGAAAACAAAATTACATATTTTCCTATTCTTCAAGTCATCGTTCACAAACCGCTCGATTGCCCAATTACATGACACAACTAACACTAAAATTATTTAAATGGCAATTTGTTTAAACACAAATTATGCATTAAGTTTGGACCAATAGAAGATTCGATTTGCGTAACTGCGCTATTGCACGCGATACCCTTGACCCTAAACAAAATTTTTTAACAGTTGCTTTAGGCTTGAATTTTAATTACCTTTAAGTGCTTTTGGTTTTGCCCAATATTGTGCGATGGCCTAATTAATGGACGTTCTGCAATTCTCGGACAAAAAAAACTGCCAGTGCTTTAAACATTAGACGCAAACCAAACTAAATTCCACGGATCATTTACGCACTATAATGTTAATTTTGTTATAACATATGCCGAAAATTATCATTATCGAAGTCATCACATGGGCGATGTAAGTTATTATATAACCGCTTAAGAGCTCGCCACTTTTCCACTTTTACTTTCTTTGGTAGCGTTTGCAATTATCGAGGAGGATAGTTCTACCTGAGCAAAATTAGCCGCTGCTCGGCCTAAACATGGCGATTGCTTGTTTTATTAATTGCTGGAAAGTCAAGTAAATTTTAAATATTGATGTTATCTCGGCGATTAGTTGCAGTTTTGTATTTCATAGAATGTTGAAGAAGGCAGACTTGTTGTGAGATGTTGAGGAGTTTTACACCTTTTGAATGAACAGGCTCATCGACGTCCATCTATTTTTTATTTCCTTATTTTAATTAGATTGCATGTGAAATATTCAATTTCAGACAATCATTTATTTAGAATGAAGTCGCCCAAAAGTAATATAGTTGTCGTAAAGTAGAAAATAATTTATTGAACAATAAAATTTGCTTCAGAAAAACTAAAATATTCTTAACAATAAACTTAGTGTTTATATATTTTTTTGAAGTCAAATCTTAAACTAATTAAAAAAAAATGTTTTAGTCGTTAGTTTCCTTTTTTTTAATTTGCAGAAACTGAAAAACTTTATTATCAGTTTTCATCTAAGTCAACAAACCATTGGAAAAACGTAAATTACGCTCTCATCAATTGGAAAAATTAATTTGGTCAGTGCAAATGTAATCAGTCTTTCCTTGGTTTGTTATCAAGAACCTTTTCATATCGCATAATTTGATTAAATCTTCATATTTTTACATGAAACACTGTGTTTAAAACTGTTGGCTTGAAACTTTTATTTTGAAAACATTTTATTGGAATCTTTGCAATTTTTCTTCATGTTAAGAATTCATTACATTTTCTGTCGTAATAATTTGTCTTTTTCTTATTTTGTTATTTCCGTTTCAATATTTAGTTTAGATTTGATTCTAGCCAGTGAAAAATGTGGATATTTGAAAGCAATCTCGAATGTTTATTCAGAGGAGAAAAATTATTTCTTATTCCGCTGGTTTAAGCAAGTAATTTTATCGTTTTCTGTTATGTTTTCAGCAAATCACAATTTTCAAAATCTTCCGTTGTTCCTTAGAACGTCTTTTCTGTTAGTTATGTTTAATTTTCAAACTCGTTTCTTGCTTTGCTATTAACTACTTTCACTAAAAACGAATGGATTTCTATTTTTTTCTTTTTCCAATATCCACTTTTTGTTGTTTCCGTTAATCATAGATCACATCTAATAATCGTGCATGCTGTTTGCGAAAGTAGACTATCAATTAATTTATTGTATTAAATATTTAAACTAATTTTAAAGAACGTATTTGAAACGAAAAATTTCAAATTTTGATTAACTTGGAGCAACTTGGAAATTATTATTACAATTTTTCTTGTATATTGTGTAGCCAGTTATGAATAATAATATTAAATAAATAAAACTAACAAGATTAAAGGAGGTGAAAGCTAAAGTAAAAATTTTTCATCTGTTCGATGAATGATGACAACTTTTATGATCTTATTTATGTGACTGCAACCGCAATTTTCGTGTTAAATTAGAAGCCAACAGTGAATTGATAAATTTTCTGTTTATTTCCTAAACAAATCAATTAAGTGGGTGTATTGGTTAATTAAATTGCACGCATAAACTTTTGCAGCAAATTGCACCACGGTATAATGCAGCACTTGCGCAGATTTTTACTTTTCTTTTGGAAAAACCAATCGAAGGTTGGTGTAAACCTTTCTAGTTCCAAGAACGTTTGATATTTGCTCCAATATGTCTAAAATGCGTACCTAGTTTGATTGTAAGCTGGTGTTAAAGGATTATGTAACTACGCGCGTAAACTAATCTGCATTTAACACTCGCATGAATTTCCTAGCTTAAATTACGATCTTTATGAAAAAAATCGCTAATGTTTTAACTAAAAGGTTTCAAAAATTCTTAATAGCGGCGATGAGAATGATAACTAGACGGTAAGAAAAACTAAAAAAAAAACAGGTAAGTGTTTTGCGATTTAGACCGCCGTAGAGAAACAAGTTATCAAAACTACCAACTCCTCCTCTAACAATGTGTTAATACAGTCTTTGTTGTTTGTGCGAGCATATTTTCAACATGATTTATTAGATTTTTTTTGTTTTCTATTCGACTTTACTTACTTCCGATTCATGTGAATCTATGCTTGGACTGGCACTTCTTTTGGCTAGACTCCGGCTTTCCGTTCCGGTGATTACGACTAGCAGGATTGCTAAGACAGCAGATGACCAAATAATTTGTTTCATTTTTCTAAAAAAAATCAAATTTTCAATATTCAAACTCTCATTCACACTGTAAACGTATCGACAACAGCATCAATTTCTCTTCTATCTCGACGAGTAAAACGTTGCAAAACACTTTAACAGTAATAAAATTAGCATTAATATGGCTCGAGTATTTGTTTATTTTAGAGCCTTAACCTCGGTTCACTTTTACTTTCTAGACTGGTTTCGATTTTTTATATTTGCGCTAATAAGTGTCAGTTGCAATCTCGTTGATTATTTCCACCAACGATATTTGCCAGCCATTTTCCGAATACCTCGGTATTGATTTGAAAGTTGTGTTTTGATTAATTACTTGGTTGTTGCTAATTAATGTTTCTTTCTATTCGCAAATTAACAATCTCTCTTGCTTAACGCCACTTAAAAATCTTCCCAATGGCCACTCATATAAGCCATAAAATCAGTAACATATAAAACAAAAAGTATAAACAAGAACTGACATTTTAAGAAAGCAAATATTAAATGGAAGAACAAGATCAAAAATACATAATAATGACAAAATTTAAGTCATGCTGACTAATTTGGTTGAATTAATGAATCTACAATTAGCATTTGACTTCGGTTGCCACCATACATCTTCTGCAAAATTTCAAAAAACGAACATCAACGAAGTGCAACGAATTCAATAACCAAATTAACCTTTTCATACCAATAAATTATTAAAGATGTGGACTTGCCGGTTGAACGGTTTCTAAAAGAAAAGGTCATCAGTAACCGCAACCAAACCGAACCCATTGACTGAGGATTAGATTGAAATAAAACTATCACTTTGGCAGAAAAAAACACAGTAAGAGAAATTGCCGCATCTATGAATATTGCATGAAAAATATCCATTGATATGCAAATTGGGATGAGTAAACTTCCTTATATAATTTAAACTTGCGAACGTACAAGCTTGACTAAATAAATAAATAAGTGTGATTTAAATTAGTAGTGTTAAATAAACATTAAGAGAAGAAGCTAAAGTGATATGTGCGCTATTAAATTAATTGAGATAATAATAAAAATACACAAAAAAATCTTACTCAAATAGTCACCGAAAAACAAAACCCTAAGTTTTTTCAAAAAGTTTACCAACACAACTGTCAAACCAAAACTGAGAGACGACCAATCAGACGTCGTGAATCCATTAGCACTCTGCGCTGGGTCGCAAATCTGAAGATGGCGGGTGGGGATGCGATTCGAAAATGGCACCAAAGACGCAAACAAATCACCTCTATACTACATCAAAGCTAAGTTAGATTGGAAAAAAAATTCTTCTTACACTAGACGGTGCTGGGTCTTAACTGGTGAATGCGGCGTATCGAACGTAAAAGAGCTTCTTATTTCAAAGGAAACGTATGTAGGTCGATGGAGGCCGAGAAACCAACGAGCAAAAGCGAGTGAGACCAGCCAAGACGAGGTCAAAGAGTGACATTCGGGGGATGGAGACCTTTTGGGGGGTGCTGTATAATCGGTCTTAAGTCACCAACTTCTCCAGTTGCGCATTGAGTCCAAGTAATGCTCAAAATGCAGTCAATTTGAAGACACTCAAAATAGTTTTCCGCTTCTGGTTATTCGATAAGAGCCCCAAAATACATCTGCCCTTTAGAGTTGCCCGAATAATTAATCAGCTGATATTCACGCTCAAACTGATTTTACCATTTTCGAAAGCTGCTACTTCATTTAATTCCAAAATATAGAGTGTTAAAACGGACTTTCTAGCTCAAATGGTTCTTGAGATATGAGGTAAAACGTGTGGTGGCAAAGGGTGGCCATCTCGTTCACCAGATTTAACAGCTATTGATTTTTTACAATTGTTCATGAATTTTGATTTTATGCTATCAATTTTATTTATCTTTAATTAGTCGCGACAATTTACAAGTTCTTCGAACTTCTAGTCATTTTTTAATTTTTTGTTGCAAATTAAACTAAACTATCGAAACGACTGATTATTAAAGATTTCACTTCAAGACTGATTTTTTGAGTTGACTGATTATGGATGAAGATTCCTAATCGTTTGCCGTAGTACTCATTGCAAAATCATTAAAAAATATGTAAGTAGGAAACACATTCAAAAATCGGAATTATAGATTTGGAAATAAATAAAGTAAACAGCGCTAGAACTGCGTTGAACTCAAAACTAAGCGCTTCACTCCATCTCTTCGATTATATGAAATTTTACGCATGTATTTTGTTTTTTTTTTATAGAAAAACCATGACTTTTTTGGCAATTTTCTAAAAAGATGCTCTAAAGCGTCATACTGAAAAAGACCTTAATGAAGATGCAGCGATAGTCAAAATGCTATATATCGATTGTTAATGATAAAAATTCAAAAGCAGAGCAAACTGAATGAAAATTAACTCTTCATTCAATTCAGTTATCCGGCATCTGAACTTGGAAGGCTTGGCGCTGAAGGAGAGTGGCCACCTCGTTCACCAGATTTAACAGCTATTGATTTTCATACAAAATTCAACATTTTCATTTTTAAGCTGAATTACAAAAGTGCTTGTTCATCAGTTTTATTTATCACAATTAATCGACATTTGCCAGTTCTTCGAATTTTTAAAGACACTTTTGATTTATTGTTGTTTATCAAATTAACGACAACTTTTTTGACTTTCGAATTTGACAAAATTTTATAGTTCAATGAAAATAAAATAAAGGTTTCTAAGGGGTTGCTGTCGAACTATTTTCAAAATCAAAGTGAGTGAGCAGTAAAAATGTTCAAAAGATTTTCAAAAATGAAGTTGAACGAAATGAATTTTCAAAAATGAATTTTCAAAAATTGAATTGTTGAATGAATTTTCAAAAATGAAGTTCAACTACGTTGAACTGAAAACGAAGCTTCAGTCGATCCCTTCGGTTTTAGCAGAATTTTAGGTGCATAGCTAAATATTTCGTTTTTCTATATATCAAGATTAACGTTTTTGGCAATTTTCTAAAAATTAGTCCAATTAAGTTAAACGAAATTAGTTAGGTTCGTAATTAGTAATTAGTTGGCCCCTAATTTTTTGGCTTTAAATGCCTTTTCTAATGCGACATGAATGCGACAAAAAAATGCAGTTTGCACATAATGTGTTTCAAATTTTCATAACCAATATAAACTACAAAAAATTGAGCACACACTAAACAAACCTTCTGAAAACATATTTTTAGGGCGTTTTACTTTAAAATTAAATATTTTTGATTCATCCATGTTATTCAGACAAAAATTGAAAATTGATTAAGTGACTAATCGAAAATAACGCAAACCAACCTATTGATTCAAAAACCGTTGTCGATTGATAGAGGCATTTTTAGTATTTAAAATTTTATTATTTCATACAACTTTGCTCAAAATATCAGCTATTTCGGTTTTGTTTCATAGAAAGTACTTTTAAAACATCAGAAAATTATTTATATTTTTAGCGGGAAGGAATTCCGATATAAAAAAACATTTTATAACTATTTAAAAAAGTGCATATATTCTAATACAGTGACAAAAAAAATCAAAGCTTTATAATTATTCATCAACTTCTGTTCCTCCTTCACCTTAAACGTTTAAAAGAAGTGTTTTTTACTCTATTCAGACTGAAAACAATCGATCTAAACAATAAAGTACATCTGCAAGGCGAGACTGCACTTATCACACTTGAGCGCCAAATATTAGAATTCGTTCTTGACCGGCTAATTCGATTTTCAATTAAATTAGAATGCTGCTGATTATGTTGCCCATCAGCCAATCAACAATTGAAACTAAACTTGAGCAATTTTCCAATATTCAGCAAACTTTATAGAAAAACAGTGTGATTAACTTTAGAGGAAAGTATCTCAAAACAACAGAGTATTTCAAACAGAATTTTTAAATCTTTATTTAAATGATCGTCTATTTTAACTTCATTTCTGGTCATCATCCTGCTCGTATGGACGCCACTGGAAACCTTTTCATAGAAAGCGTTTTTTAATAGAATTTTTTTCTAGTTTTAATCTTAGTCGCAATAATCATGATTGCTGTATTATAAATAATAATTTCCGCTCATAATTATCCACAGCTAATTAAAAAGGGTTGAGACATATTTTTTACCATTCATTGGTATTTGCATAATTAATTAATTAATAACGTTTACTAAAAATCATCATACTAAATGAGATTATTGCCATTTGGTGCACTTTGTGTAGTCATGTGATATATGATTTTAATAAGCTAACAATGTTTTCAATTACTGCTTACAAAAAATGCTTTAATTAAAATAGGAATATTGACAGCAAATTCACAAAAAAATTGTGCCGAGTAAACGATTTGTTAAGTTTCAGTTTCATGAGTGTTCTTCAGTCTAAATCTTCAAAAAAAACAATGGACAGTCATGGCATGAGTTTAAGGTTCTCAAAATAGCAAAAAAAGTCATATGTGAACGTTTCGTAACGACCGATACAATCCCCTTGACCTTAATCATGCTTTGTGATAAAAAGTGAACGGTAAACTTATCACCTGATTACTGAATGGACATTAAGCGTTAATGAAACCTAGCTAATCAATAATTAGCTTGAGTAAGTATTTTTCTAACTAATATATAACGAGTAGAAGGTTTCACCTAAAAATTTACGGTTTTCAATCTCCCAATTTCTTGCTTGTCTTGAACTAACTTCTCTTTACACCCCTTTCTTTTCCTCCCTTTCTGGCAAAAAAAGTTTTCATATGTTAAGTTTCTAAGCAATTCTACTTTAAGTATTCGGTAGTTAAGCTTTCTGCTGTTGTCTATGGGCATTTTGTATATGTTGCAATTTAATTATTTTCATGTTTGCAAAAGGTTTCATTGACCTAAAGTTTATTTCCAAATTACGTCCACATGGTTAAGCTTTTTCTGCTGTGTTTTATTGGCAATTAATGGCAAATTCGTACTGTCCAAATTGGGTGCATAGTGAGAGGAATTGAGACCGAAAAAGGAATTAGAGATTGTATCAAAAAAAGTCCATGAAATAGAACACTGGATTAAGTTAAGGAAGGAAAATTTTCATTGAATGGGAGAAAATAAGTGTTAAGAGATAGGGACCTAATTAACGTGTAAATCGTGGCTTTTAACGTGAGAAATCTACTTGCTCAAATGGATTTATTTTTTGTGGTTATTAACTATTGCGCCAATCTTTTATTAAAACAATCGCCACTAAACCAATCAACGGTCAGCGCTATAAATTAAAAATTACACTTGTTGTTCAATAATCTAGATTTGCATGTTTCGGTCTAAGATTGGCAACGAAAGTTTACGCCAACGCAGTTTAGAGGTGGAAAGTCTGCTTGGTTCATCTTATTGGTTAATTGTTAAATAGGGCTTAATTTTACTTTTTTTTACTTACTTACTTACTTACTTTTACTAATTTAACCCTTATATGGTTTGTCAGTCATTTAAGTATATAATGACTGCCAATTATTGTTTAAATGTGGAGCCATAGGTTTATCTAATAATCCCTTTAATCGTATTTTAATATTTGTTTCCTGAAGTAATTAAAATATTTTATTTGACTTTGACCAACTGAAACAATAACCAAAGTAAAAAAAATCGTTAAATAATCGTTAATAAAACCGATAGATATGTGAGTGAATAGAAAATATGTTCATAACTGTTCTGACGAATCCATGAACGTTACAGGCCAAAGCTGGAAATTTTCTCCAATTATCTAATCATTGTGAGAAATTCCATCTTTGCTGCTAATTCAATTGCATAAGGAATTGTTGCCGTACGATGGGTTATTGGAGGTCAATGGTACAATCATTGAGAGATGACTGCTTACTCGAAATTTGCATTTTTTCAAAGCGTACAAATTGTTGCTTGAAATTGAATTGAAAATTGCATAGTTTGCACATTGAAAAATAATGACTCTAAAACTGGATAAACCAATTAGAACTGGAAGACTGAGGAAGACCTGGAAGATATTGGAAATCGGTTTACTATGGTCTTCAGAAAAAAACTCCCCATCTTTTTAAAAATGTGAAAAATTCAGCAATTATATCCCAAACTTGGAAATTCATGATTCAATAATAACAATTTTGACCGAAAAGCTTAATCTAAGATTCCAAAACGAATTTTATAAGAAATTTTTGGAGCCGCGTGTAAATTTTGAAAAACTTAAAAAAATCTTTTTTACTTAGGCGTTTCAAAAAATATTAATTTTTTTAAAGTTTATTTGTCGTTTAGCAGGACTCACTTCGTGCTCATTTCAATGCTGATTTTTAGCCCAAACTTATGCAATTTCATATGAGTTAACAAATAATTGGCAACATTTGCCGGACAAAAAAATGATCATTTCAACTGAAGTTACGTCGGGACAATTCGACCTAGAAAAATTGCTCGAACCATTAAACACGAGAAAAGTGGCATTTCCTGCTTGTTTTTTTATTTGAACACACTTTCGTTAACGGGTCAAATTTTGAAGAAAGCACCATTTTATGTAATTTCGTAAATGAGTCAAGGAGTGCTTCACACTGAAAAAGTTTGGTAATTGCTTAAAGAGTAATGGAAATTCGAATTTAATTGGATGAATTGAGCAAATATATGAATTAGGTCATTTTCATAATTTTTACTAATGTGTTTTCAATGGGACTGGTGAAATAAAAAACAAAATATGATCTTAAAATTCCCTGTATATGGAGGGCAGGGGAGATTAAAAATTCGAAATTTTCATAGAAAATAAATCTCCTCAAATCTGTGATCACGTATAATGGATATAGAATGGTGTTTTAATTTGAATTCTCTTTTTCACTTACAAAATCAAAAATACGTCTTTATCCAAAAATCTGCTTATTTCTTAATGTAAACTACTTGCGGCTAAAGAGAAATGTCTACTTTTTGCACTTATATAATAAAAGAGATGAGCAAAAAAAATTATTCGTAAAACCATGTATCGATTAATAATCTATGTTAATTCAGCACACTTTGGATCATTATCTCAACTGCAACAAGGAACAGGAATTAATACTTTCGTGTCGTAAATGTGCTTATAAATAATTGACGATTCGCTTAAATTTGGTAACGCAAGTTTAAATGCAAGAAAAAAACAGTGTCACTTATCAGCAATTAAGTTTCCCAATTTTGATGGGTCGAAATGGGCAAGCAATTAATCTATTCGGTTCTCTATATTGCCAAATATTGTCAATTTGGCATCCTTAATGCTGTTGCAAGCAGTTTAATTGAGGTGCATATGTGTAACTGTAAGTGCCGAAATAACCAGGTTTAATGAAATGAGCTCAAATGGGTTCTAATGTACGTTATTTAATTTATCGTTGTTATCTAAATGCTAATTATTTCACTTTGATGTGGCTGGCAAGTAAAATTCTAGCTGGAAATTTCATTGCATTTCATGTGCTTCTATTAGGTAACGTTATTGCTAGTTAATTATCAAATTTGATGTCTGGCTTGTCTAAAAATGTAATAAACTGATTATGTAGAACGAGAGCTCAAGCATTTCGCAATACAATTCACTAAATTGCCCGGTAAGGCAGTTTCAAGTATTTAGTTGGACTTTTTTGCTATTTATGGCCAATGTTTGTCAATTTTTCGAATAAATCGTTTTATTATTCAGCTTAAGTCATTTGCAATCAGACGAAGTATACAATGAAAAACAGATATCTTCAAATATTCAAGCTTCGTTTCGAAGAAATGTGGATTCTTGCAGTAAGGGGGAGTAATTGTTTCTTAAATATTCTAAATGCTCATATTCAAAATACTTCAGTCAACCCGAATTTTTCATAGATTCAGTTTCTTGTATTTTCATTACTTGATGGAAAATTAAAATGTTTTTGTCCACTTCAAGCTTTGAAAGCAAATGAAAAACAAATACATTTGGAAATTATTTAAAACGTTCAGCTTTTTAAAATATAATTCAGGCAAATGTCGTCACTAATTTAATCGCTTCTAAATCGCCTAATGTTTGTCGCATCTAAACGTGAAAACAAGCTCAGAAATTTTGATTCGAGGATTATCCCCAGTTGTAAAATTTACAATTATTAGGAAAACCTTTATTTGCAACTGCACAACTGTGAAACTTTTTGAATTAGAATTATTTGCATTCTTGGGGATCATCAAATTGTTATTATATTTGATAATAAGTTCTTCGCTTTCTTTAATATTTTATCAAACCTTAAGAAAACTTTCCTTAATTTGCTCAAAACTACTTCACCGGCTGAAACGAGTTGATAATATTTTCGATACGTGCAAATTTCAAAGAGCTTATATAAAAAGAAGCAATTGCTCCAACTTTCATTGCAAATTCATCAGCAATTTCAATTATAATTTCCTTCGCAGTTATTACGAGAAAAACAGTTATTTGCACTTCTTTGCTGAAAAAAATGTTAATTCTTCCCACTCAATCGTTGCGTGGTCGAATAAAATGGCGATTAAATCTCTGAAAGTAGTAATTAATCACTAAACAAACGCAAAACTGAGAACAGTAACCAAACGCCAAAGTGATTATCAAGACCGTAAAGTTAAGCCATCCATGCACCACATTGGACATTCCAAGTAACAAACGAGTGCTCTACTTTATCGCCTATTGCCTCACCTCGATTGGTGCAAACTGCCCACACATCCACACCACTAAAAATCCACACAAAACCCCGTTCGAATTGCTGGAATTGTCCCACGAAAAATCGCGAATCAACCCGGATTTCCACACGAAATTAAACGCTAGACTGAGTTTCTTTGATAAACAATAAGAACCGATTTATGGCCAAATGTCTGCTAATGCCGAGTCACTCTCTCTTTTAAATTCAATGTCATCTGAGAACATCGGGTATTCACTTTCGCTCTAGATTTTATTGTGTGTGCACTTCGGTTTCTATGATTCGGAAGGCATTGAAAAAAAGAAAGGAGGACTTGGAATTCCAAAACATATATTAACAAAAGCTTATTGAATGTTAACGTCTTTCTAAGAACGAAAGCTAGTTAAGTGAGGGTTTAAAATCTTTACTAAAATATATACTTTATGTACAAAAAATGCTATTCTAGTGTGGTCAATATTAAGCAAATTATTGCTAAACTACTAAATGTCTTCGAGCTGAATGACGCCAGTTAATTCCAGTCTGATTTTGTTGATAAGGACGAGGAGGACGTGAAAAGTCCAGTAATTGTCGAAAATACCAATTTAAACACGTTGTATGTTGAACCTTTTCCTCCCTAGAACAATGGAAAAACTGTGATTTTCTGTACAGTTTCGTTGTTGGTGCCTACCTGGTTCATCCCATTTCCGCCACTCCCAAGTACTGTTTTCAGGAACCCAGTCAGGAAAGATCCGGAGTCCAACTGCGGCTCCTGCTTCCAAGGGCCAGTCGCGTCATCTTTAGGCTCCTAGAAAGATTTAGAATTTTAAGAAAAAAACCACTGAAAGTTGGGCAAAAAGTCACTTTCCAAGTGGCCACTTTCAGGAAATTTAAATATGATTTATGGGCGGAGCATAAAAATGTTTAAACAATCATGCTTTGTAGTTTAGACTGACTGACTAAGTGCCGAAGATATTTTTGTCTTTCCGGGCAATTGCCTCCAAATTTGCTGCTATGGTTCAGTAAATTTATCTAGGTGGGGTGATTTTTTCCTATACATTAATCAATATTTTAAGAATCGGCTTTAGTTCGGTCCAGTGAGAACAAAACATTTTGTGGAGTATTTTGAAATATTTATCGCAATGCTTTCCTTAAGGCGAATAAGGAAATTGTGGGTTTCAACAGCCGGAAGCGATAATGCACCTAAATCCAATCATGCTGATAAAACCGTCGTTTTGTCATCCGATCAATTAAAAATTATTTGGAAGTTTTTTGAGTTCAGTAAAATCGCAACTTATCTTCAAATTTCGAGTTTTTCTAAACCATTTTCAGTTCACTTAGATCAACAATTTAAAAGATGGCACAGTTCTGGAAGTTTTTCCAGAAATTTGGCTTTACAACTTTTGCATAAGTTGACTTAATCGTTGAAATTCAAAAAAATCCTTTTCAGGTTGAAAACTTTTCGATTTATTTTTTGCAAAAAATTACAAATTTTATTTTGAACACTCTTCTGCGACTTAATGAGTGAAAAACTCTGCGAAATCGAGGAAACATTGGAACATTTTGGCTTATCTATTTCTTTTCGATGTATGATGATATTCAGAAGACTTTTGTGGAAAGTGGAAATATTCAAATCATGTGATTGAAGAAAGTGGATAAATTCAAAATTCCTTTAACTATTTCACAACATTTCTCGATTTCTTCGAATGTCTGCTTCAAACGTTTTTAAAAATTTTAAAACCTTAGTAGTTTTAGTCCAATCCAGTAAACTCTTTCAAGTCCCAAATGGAAACAAAACATGATTATTGAGCAATTTATCATTGTGTTTGCGCCGGTTTTCCCCGCTCATTGGAGTACTTTGCTTATCCAGCAATAAAATAAATCGAATTGCGGTAACATGAAGCGAACCATTATTAAATCCAAGGGTGGTATAATTTCAAATGTCAACTCTGCAATATCGACCACGCAATCACGAAACGAACAAAGTCAAAGCGGCCGATTTTTTCTCAAATCGCCCTCGTTTCTTGCAACAATGACTCATATAATCAGGATTGTTCTACCTTATTACTGCTTGATTATTAACAAATATGATAATGCGAGCAGGACTTTCAAATCAAGGAATATTTTAGAATTTGCAACAAAACTAAATGAAAAAGAGATTGTGTATCCGTAGGGCCAAAACCCCCGGAAAATACAAAGTTTATCCATAAAAGTTGCCAGACATTGTTAGCAAGTCAAATTAACGCACTCGTGCATACGACACAACAGGTAGAAATTATTTTTCACAACGACCTAAAAGCCGAAAACATTCTCCAGGTTTAATAAAAGAACCCATATAAACAATTTTTCAAGTTCCTAAGTCATGCCTACATTTTGCCTCTTTTTGCATTTCGCTTTCCCATTTAAGGCACTATTTCTCGCTAAGTTCGACGGTTTTTTTCAGTATCAGTAGGATCAGTGCAGATCTTAAATTAAAAATTAAATTCTGCTAGAAGAACAACACCGTCAGCACATCTTAAAGTATTTATTGCTAAGCTGTTTATTTCGATTTCTGTATTATGACCTAGAACTTCAACAATTTTCTAGCAACCACAGCTTCCGAAAATAAATTAAAGAAGGTTGGGCAGCGAGCGCAGTGCTTTTTTTAGTTTAAGCCCTTAAAAAAATGAAAACTTGCAGGCGCTTTTTCGGTAATTATCTTTAACCTCATCAGATTGTTTGAAATTAAAAATGAACATACAGGAGAAAAAACATTTGATTTTTGAAAGAGTTATTGTATGGAAAATTACCCAACGGAGTCAAACGCAGACCCTGAAACTCATATGAATATGTGTTGTTTGGGAGCAACTTGAACGACAATCAAAATTTGAAATAATGATAATAATTTGTAGAGAAGACACAGTTCAAAAACTTTTCCTATTCTAGAAACATATTGATTTTCCTCTAGATTCGTTTCCTATGTTCACTATTATCCCTTATAAAAACGTAATAACATGCATAAATAAAAAAAAATCATTTTCCTTTCAATAAACCCCAAGAAAAATGATATAATCACCTGAAAAAAGATAGCAGGTTTTGAATTGACCAAAATTCGGTTAATTTGACATTGATTTTAATGTCCATATACCAAAAAATGAACGGCAAAAGTTGTTCTAATTGGCTTGGGATTATTATGCGAAAAACCACAAACCAGGATAAAGATAATGAAATAATCATTCGGTACGACAATGACTCCATACTTACCGGGGCACTCAAGGCTGGCAGGACTCCGGTCACCACCTTCCCTGCTAGAATTCCTGCTCCTTTCTAAAAAAGAAATAATTGTTTTATTAAAAGCTTCTACGCGACTGAAGTCATGACCAATAAATTATCAGTTTGCTTTTTTCATGCAGACCAGATCGACCATGATAGTAGGAAAATGCTAATAGGGCAATTGATATTGGCATTATCCCAACAAATAAGGAGTGTAGGATAGATCAGTTGGTCAGTAATGAATAAATAAAAAATTATGTAATTAGTGAAGGCAGTCTAATGCTATCGGATGGAATCTTATGCAACTACCTGATATTAAGCCACTCTTGAATTGGCTCGCCCTGTATAAGTGTCGCCTATTTTTATTGTAAATCAAGTCGTATATTGCTTAATATGGTGACACCAATACTTGCTACAATAATTGAATTTATTGGCTGGATTTTGGTCTAATTGTTGCAACTTTTTATCTTTGGCTTACGACTTTGTGGTACCAGCTGTAGGTAGGTATACATGGGGAGCGACGAAAACCGCATTTCCGCTTAAAATAAATTTAAATGTTATATTGAGCTTCTCAAAATTACAATTTTTGATTATGATCTTGAACCTGTTGGTTTTAATATTCTTTAAACGTTTTCTCATTTTTAATTAATTATTTAGAAATCTAGTTTTGTATTTTCGAATCTGCAAGTTGTTTTTAATCAAACCTAATGTACACTGTGACCCAATCGGTTGTTAAAAACTTGCTGAAAGCAAAAAAAATGTTTCCTTTGTTGAAAAAAAATGCAGTCCTCATATGTTAACTTTTTTACAAATATTTTTCATCATAAAAGACCATTTTTCTCTAAAACGGCTGATTATCTTTCATGTCTTTCATATCTTTTATGATTTATGAAAAGGAGTCTTTCACTAAGGGGAGCTTTTTGTGTAGAAACTCCTTGGCTTTCAAAAGGTGCTTTTATAGTACCTTATGAGAAAATACTCCTTTTTTCCATAACGGGGCAATATGGTCATAAAATTATAATTTAATTTTCACCCGTATTTCAATCTGATCTTAATTCAATCACCCTGTATTTTGCTGTAAGTTCGATAAAGTAAAGCTTGGTGACACCATTAATCACTATCTGGATTGATTTTATTCGCCGGCTCGTGTACTAATTTTTATCCATTTAATTGCCACTCGGGTTACCAGAATTTTTCGCTTAAATTTTAATAATAGTAATTGATATGAAATGTCGGTCATACCGGTCCTGGTGGACTTGCCACGCCTTTAATCGAAGCCCCAGCTAGTCCGCCAATAAATGCGCCTATGTCGGATCCACCCCCATCAGCACCACCCTAAAAATGAATTGAATAAAGAAAATCAATGAAAAATGAAATCTTCACTTGACAAAAAATTTGGAAAGTTTCTGTGGCCTCCATTAATACCAAGCTTTGTTCAACAATTTTTACTTTTATTTACTTTCTATCTTTCTAATAAATATAAGCTTTCTTCTTTTGCCATGTTTTAAACTAAATCTATCAACAAATCAATGAAAAATATCCATTTGGCCTCAACTCACCCCAAAGAAACTTCTGAGAAGTTCTGATAGTGAATTGAAATCGTAACTTCCATCGGGATTTTGCTACAAAAAAATTAACTTTACTTCCTAATTGACTCCTCAACGGTTACTTACGCTGCTTAAGCTGCCTAACAATCCTATAATAGCTTCTATATCTATACTGCCATCAGCCTAAAAGCATTGTTACATAACATTTTTACATTTGCAACTTTCAAATACTCACCCTGCTAAGTCCACTCAAAAAAGCTGAAAGTAGCCCGGTAAGCATGTTTCCTCCGCCTTCTTCTTCGCTACTGTCCTGTTCTTGAGATGCCCGTTCCTCAGGACTGTCCAATTCCTGTCTAGGATTTCTTGTTTCATTTATTTTATTTTTATTTCCCTGCTTGATTGGATCTATGTTGCTGCTGGCAGCAGGGACAGGCGATTGAGTGTCGTTTTTTTCTGAAGAGGTTGAATTCTGCAAAAAAAGCTTGATTGTTGAAATTAACAGCGATGTTTGATAGAAATTAATACATTTTTCTTGCTATTCTTCATTAAACTTTGTTTTCGACAGACGAGTTAACAAGTTAGCAGAAAAATTAAATTTGTTCTTTTGATTCTACCGAAAATTCTGCTTGCTTGGTGTTTTGAATCAAAAGTTAGTGTTCTTGGAAAGAGAGCAAATCAAACAAACAAATTTAAAAAATATAATTTCAATAATTACCAGGTTGTTTATACAAATGCGAAAATCAATTTTTATGACAAAATTTAAATAGGCATATGACTAACAGGTTTGTTTCTGTTTCTACTGGAATTTGAAGGAAAATTTTAAAATAGTTGGCAAATAACTATATTTAAAATATAAGTATACACATTAATAAGATTAGACTTACGAAAATATGATAGTTTTTATTTAGCATATTTGCTATAAATGAAAACAAGCAATTTAACAATCTAACATGGTATTAATAAAAAATTCCAAAAAGCACCCAAAAAATATGTAAAAAAAATTATTCAAACCTCGAGGACAATAATTATGCATATAAGCAAAATTAAAAATAACAATTGAAATTACACGTTTTTCTGCATTTAGATGCGTATGGAAATATACAATAGGAAGCATACATTTTCACAAAGTCGATAACACACAAATTATTTATGAATCGCTATATACATTTATATTTTATTCAGTTATAATTTTAAGCAATAAAATTCGAACTGCACCAAAAACCGACAACTTTTGCTCACAACTCCAAATAATTATTTTGAATTTGTATCGACAGTTCATAATTAATTTAACGAAACATTCAGTCAAATGTTGCTCAAAAATGTTGCCTGTAAAAAATAGACTATTTAAGTGTATTTTTGTTAGGAAATTAGGCAAAACCCAGTTGCCCAAATCGTCCATATATCGACATACTGAAAATTTTCATACTGCCATTGCGACGTAAAAATAAATGTAGGCAATTATAGCCATTTCCCAACCTCAAGTCTTCAAACATTATTTATCATATTTTATTTAGTGTTGTCTCCTTTCGCAATTTGTCAAATTAAATTTTTCCTAAGTTATGCAAATTCGTTTTAACGATGCACCGACCAACCGCACTATGTAATTCACTAATATTATTTATTTGGCGGTACCTCAGGTTGGGCAAATTTGTTTAAACGTTGTTTGGTAATAACATTACCAATTAATAACCAAATTTATACAATTATGAATGTTAATTAATTTGCTCTGAGGGAAGAGCTCGACATTTTCTTGCCAAAGCTTTAAGCTCTGAGAAATGGATGATGTTATTACTAAAGAAAAATAGAATGCATTTGAAAAATTGTAAAGAAGATTAAAAATGAAAGAAATTCCAGCATGCCACAAAATCACTCGCACAGGAATGGTACTATTTTAAATAAAAATATTGAAAGTTGGGAACCCAACATTATGCATATACAGACAAACAAGACAGAGAAAATGACAATAAATCGACTGAAACAATATGTCTGAACAATACATTGAATGAGAAATTTCGGAAACGTCCACTTATAAATAAATTTCTTAAAAAATGTAATTTGGTAACAGACACGTAAATAGAAAAGTAAAAACAGAAATATATTTGAAAATGATTTCCTGCAAAAGAAGTTTCATTAGTAAATTGCAAAATATTTAACCTGTTGCCAGAACGGTTCCAAAATTAATGATCAATACATTTAATGTGTTTTTGGCAATGCAATTATGAAACCTCCTGCCTAATCAACCCGCATTTTTGTTAATGTAGTTTTAACAGTTTGGCAATGATTATTTCCGTTTCATTATGTAATTGAGTTTGTAATATGTGTTCAATAGAGCTGTTTTGTTGCAACTTTTAATAATTTTGAAGTTTGGGAAAAACAAGACATTTAACATAAACTTGCTAGTTTGTCGAGTTGCGTTTCAAAAAGTACTAAATTAATTTTTGTAATTATACTTTTTCCACTTATACTTGCACAGATGCTAAAGTCCAGGCTTTGAATTATTACCATGAAAATCTTTAATCATTTTAACAAAATGAATGAAATTTAATTAATTGCACTTCAGCCCCTACTGACACCCTAATGGCATGTAGAATTTCCCATGACCCAAAAACCATGCGAACAAAGCCGCCAACCGTCTCCACAGAATCTCCAGCCTCTCCAGTTACCTTTCATTCAATAAGTATCAGATTTGAGTGTCTTAATCGGTTCACTTGCGCCAGTCAAGGATTCGTTTTTCACACAGGAATAACAATAAAATTAATAATTGCGGTGTGCGCATTAATTACCATAAAACTATTATAATCTTATTATGTTATTGCCCAACTAATTTGAAAAGGAAAAAATCAGTATGGAAATGTGTTGAACAAAATCGACGATTAAACAGTTTTCATGGTCAATTTGTGTTTGGTTCTTGCGGTTACTGAGGGTAGTGAAGGAAACAAAATTACGCCATATGAGTGAATGATATGGGACGGAAAAGTAACGGGATTTGGAATGGGAGGAAAAGGAAAAGTTTGGGTTTTTATGAGTTCCGGAAATATTTTGTCTACCGCACTGCTCCTGCATACTAATATGAAAATGGAAAACTTTCAGATTTTGGTTGAGAACCGTTCTTATTGCTATTAGTTCTTACCTTGGATGAAAAATCTGTTGTAAAAGGTATGATGTTGTTGGTATAATTTTGCGCTTTCTCACCCTCAGTTAAGTTTCGTTTAAAATAAATGTCCAAGGCAGCAAATTCATCCTCAACTTTATCCAGTGAGTTGTTTTCGCCCTGAAAACAAGAAAAACCCACTAGACCCAAGCTAAGTTGCTAAATGATACTTCATGTTATTTGTGCCAATTTATAGAGTTGCATTAAAAAAGTTGAAAAACTATGTTTTATTGTTGATTCAATCACATTTCAAATACGTTCTAAGCAGCATTAAAAATGAATAACTCGAAACTTTATTGTCATTTTCTCTTACTTCAAATGGTTGACTTTCAGCTATTTTCTGTATCCAAGAGGTTGGATATCCATAGACAACACCAACAAGAAAAATATTCCAAAACATAATCAAATACATTAATTAGCTAAAAAAGCAACTGCTCTTCGCGAAAATCAGGCAAAAACTGAAGAGAACCCTCGTTGGACAAAAATCCTGCAATATTAACCAGCAGTTTAAATATTGTCATTTCAGTAATGATTACTCCTTTGATTTAGCAAGAAAAAATGTACTAAAGGCAAATTGTGTTTGAGCACCGAATTACTAAACATTCGGGCTCTTTTGTTTGATGTACATAGTTTGATTTGGCCGACTGTCTTCCTTTTCAACCCAACAATTACTTCCACGTAATATCCCATTTGATCATATGGCGATCAGTCAACATGAAAGTTTTCATACTTCCCAAATGCACTTTTGCGGCTTTCTTGCATCGAATAGTTTATTACCGACTCATTAAATATTGTTAAAAATGTTTTTGTATACATTTACTTGTTTATATAGCACATACGCTCTATAATTAAAGTGCATAAATGCCAAAAGTAAAAAAATGTGTAATCTCAATAAAGAACTTTTATTACCAGAAAGTCTATTATAATACAAAATAATTTGCATTAGCTGTAATAAACGATGAAAAAAACTACAAGCAAAGTGCGAAACACGCAAGTAAAGTCGACTATGCTCTGTGCGCTCCTTCAAACACCCGCGCTACACTCCGCTTTCCCCTTGTCATGCTAAAGCGATGCGGTGATTTATGTGAAGACTTCGCTGCATTTGGTTCAGCGCCAACAGCGTTATTGAGTAGTAGATTAATATCGGTTGTTGTATCAACATGTTTTTAGTCAACTTTCTTTTTGTAAAATAATGAGAAAAAATGAAGACCATTAGAAGATGCTATTACCGAAAAACCTGGTGAGGGTAGAAGGAAACGCACTAGTAAAGTTTTGGTTTAAACAATTACAAACTGCTTTATACTGTTTTCTTAGGCTTGAACGTAAATGGGGCCCACCAATCTAGACCACTTGAAGTTGAAAGCGATCTGCATACGTGTTTAGAACTTAGTTTTTTGCTGCCCCACACTGTATATAATGTATTTCATTATATTTTTTGCATTATCAAAAACCTTGACAAGTAAATGTCTGGCAAGTTAATTACTGCATGATAGTACAAAATTACTGAATGAGTGATTGTGTTGTGACCCCTGAATGTACCATATTACTTAATGCAATTTGCCAATCTCAATTATTTATTATAGAGTCTATCAAAGTAAATATGGTTTTAATTATTTACCTACTTGCAAGAAAACGTGAAATTCTTGCCGTTGTTGACAGTTTTTCGAGCATGAAACTTGATCCGGAAATGTTTTTTTTGTATTTTTCATCCCAATATTGCTGTTTCATTAGAGTAAAAAGTTTTTGCATCAAGTACCGGCCTTAATGACACAGTTTTTTCTGGTTTAACTTCATTTTTGCAAGTTATTTGCAAAATTAGACCGAAAAACACTCAAATTTTGCCAAATCGACTGTGTTCTGACAAGTTGCATACAATAATGTATTATGCAAGTTATACAATTTATCTCCCACGCTCTGAAATCGCTTAATATGAACGCTGTCCTTTGTATCGAACTAATTATTCCATTGGTCTGGAAAATGTGTTTTTGCCTAACAATCGCATTGGTTACTTTCAATCAGACCCAAGGCTGCCGGTTCATTTTTTCTGCACTACGTATCGCTCTAGAGGATTTTTTCCAGTCGCCCTTTCCTTGAACTGGTGCTTAACAGGGCGAACTTTCCCATCCCAAAAATTTGTTTAATTAAACAAATGTGATTGAAATTGTAAGTTGGAAGTTACCGGCGTTTTGCTTGCAATACCTGCAGCTTGCAACTATAGGCAACTGACTGTGCATTGCACATTTGCATCGTGATTGCTAATAGTAATGAATAGTGAAAGTCAGTAGCGTGATTAACAGTAACTAGAAGAATAATGAGTCTGACTGTTTTTTTAAATAACTTGATATAAATATTGATTTGTTAATGTGATTGGAATATTCTTGCTACTGCAGTTGCGAAAGTAAATTCTGATCATCCAAAGTATGACGACAAAAACGCATGAAATATAAACTAATATTTAAAAAATTACTATGGAGAATTTCTAGCCCACTTCATAGTTTGCTGAATCTCCAATCGATACAGTAAAAATGATGATGATTTTTGTCTCTGAAAAATTCAGTTGAGTCAGTTAAGCGTGAAACTGTTAACCTACTTTTAATGATTCGAAGCTTTTTGCATATCGCTGAAGACATAAGGGAGCGCAAAAGATGCAGATGTAAATATTCTCATCAGGGGAACAAAGGCCAAATGCAGACTATTGCTCCTAGACCAGGCAATCTCATTTTGGGCAATTTGGGTACCTTTAAGTGCAAATCAATAATCTCGATTGAATTAAGCAAATTAATCGAAATCAATTGGAGGAAATATCTAAGATTTGGGCAAAAGTAAACCTTGACATGCCATTCATGCTTTTACCCAATTTTCCCCTGGGTTAAATTGAAAAGAGAAAGGATCTACCGGATTTGTTTTGATAATAGACGTATAAACCACAGAGTGTTTATGTAACCGTTTCCAATTCCTTTCGACTGGACCAATTCAAGGTGGAATGCAAAAAAATATTTTTTTCTTAAAACAGTCTGCTTGTTCATTTGCACGTTTTAAGTAAAAGTATAATCCAACAATCATCATGGTCTAAACAAGCCGATTTTTTTACGTATTCCCTAAGGGCAAAGTTTTTCAATTTAGAAACCCATTTTTTTCCAATAAACCGATAAGAGTTGGAACGCACTAATGAGAATCGCTTGAATTTTCTGATTAATTGCATTTGGGAATTCTAACTGAAGTAAACTAGAATAAAGCACATGAAAAGCTTGTTAATAATTTATAATACTTCTTTTTCTTGAGGTGGTATTCGAATCATTAATAGCTTCATCAGGGCTTTCAACACTGTCCAGGTTTCTTCACAAATTTAAATTATCTTTAGCCTTAAAAATTATTAGAATTAATCATTTCACTGCGGATATGACAGGGAAGGTTGTTTTAAATAAAGATCGATTTCCATGGGTATTTGAGCTTGTGCAACTCATTATTCAACGATTATTTTTTATTATGCAAATTGGTCTTGATTCTCTTATCGGTTTTTCAGTAATTAGGAGGATTTCGAAAAGAGCTCTATTCAACTGTATCGACATTTTCGGTATTGTTTTCGTAAACCCATTTGAGCAAGAACATATTATTTATTGTTGACCTGTATGAGCGTCAATAATATTGCAGTAAACAGGATTTAATTTTAATAATAACTTGTTAATTTTCTTATCTAAGTGTTACATCTTGTGGTGTTACAATGGTATATTGTGCGCTGACACGTTACGAATTTTGGAAATCTGTTGTTGGCATTAATTGTCTTCTTTTTGCATCTGCTCATTTATTCTTGTATTGTTTCGACGAATTTTTCTACGTATTATTAATCATTAGTTTCAATGTTGCGAATTAACCACATCAAGCAAAATATCTAAAAGTATTAAGTGCATTCAATGTCTAGGTATGCTTGAATGCTAGGATTCATTAAAGTAAAGATAAAGCTAGTTAAAACCCGTTAAAAATAACACAAACCAGTTGCAGGATTTATAACGCAATTTGAATCGGGGAATTTGAAGTCAGAAAATATTTGAAAAGAATTAAACCAACTGCAAAACGAATCAAAATGTACAGCAGAAAAGTGCAACAAAATTTTGTAAAAATATTCAGCAAGATAATTGTCAAAATGTCTTCCACACTTAATGTTTAAAGTTGCGTAGTTTTCGTCGTTCATTTTGTAAACGAAAATTAGTAAACAAAAAAAATAAAAATAAACGAAATTTTTGCATGGAAAATTCCTTGATTACAGAAAATTAATCAAAAGCAAGTTAACAAGCACGCCTTAAAAACAAAACATTTTTTAAATAATCGTCGTGTTGAAACATTCATCATTCATGGAAATGATCATGCGGCCGGTCCATAAAATATATTGTTGCAAATTTAAGAAATAAACCAGTTAGCGGATGTAAAAATAAGCAACATCAATGGAAGGCACTTGCAAAAGCCACACAATAATTCATAAACAAAAGTTAAACGTTTTGCATCTTTCGAGCAGAGAAAGACAGGAAAGCTGTCGATGTTTTTCGATGTTAAACAATTATTATCCCTCAAAATATTAAACTGAAATTTGTTGTAAAAATGTGTAAGGAAAAACACTGATAAGGTACAAGCAAAACTGGATAAAAGAGTAACATTATTATTAACATTCCGGAGAAGACAAAAAGTTGTCTCAAAAGAAAAATTTTGTCGAATCATCCGTTTTGTTCTAACAAATGTGAAAAATGGAAAAGTCCTGCTTGCAAAGAAAAGCTTGTGGATTTATAAGAACCAGGCAACACAATAGTGCATTACAAAAACATGCCAAAATTAATTATTTATTTCTCCAAAGTCTTGAGTGATTAATGTAAACGACGCAGGCAGACGAATTACGACAATGTGATTTAGTAGGTACACAAAATAAAAATCAACTAATAGGTTTTTAAAGTAAAAAATCATACAAACATTTCAAACATAAAAAAGTACAACGTTTTAAAAACCTTACAGTTGATTTTCCATTGAAAGCAAAAAATATTTTTTGATCTTCCGAATTATGCTCGATATTGTCAGCAATGCTCAATCGTTAGTCAACGATTTGAAATTGGTGTTAGGTTTTCTAATAGAATACTGGATACATTATTTAGCAATTTTTCAACAAAAAATAACTAATTTCCTACTATTAGCATGCGATTGCATCGTACAGCATTGGCACTCTTGTTTTTCTTTTCCATATTACAGCTTCCAATCGTCTAATTACATATTATTGATCGTTGCTTTCTGTCCTTAATAACATCGTCTGTCCTAACACAGGTGATACCTAATGCAGAGTATAATCGGTGCACGCAACATGGTTTTATCTAGTCGTAAAATCGTTGCACCAAACCACTCTAGTATTAACGCATTAATGACAGTTGAGTAATGTAATTAAGTAAGCACCATTTTTCTGATAACCGGAAACATATTCATGATATTTGTGTGGAAAGAATGGAGGTCACTATATTTACAGTTTTTTTACATTGGGAAATTGTTAAAATAAGTCCTTTGATAAAAAAATGCCAAAATTCTATATTGAGTCATTTTATTAACAGGAATATCTTCAAGGCGACTGTTTATTTGTATTCATTTACGTATTCGCGTGCAGCAATATCAAAGGATGCTATGCGACTAGCATACATCCTAATTTAGCTAATAAATCTTTGGCTTTTCTGG